ATGCTATTAAGGTTGCTCAGACATATCAGCTGGTTCCTAATTGAGATGGTTTATTGATTAGGTATTTGACCAAAAGCCATAAATAAATCTCACATTTGAAACTGAAAGGGTTATAATTGTTCATACCTCAAAACTCAGGCCATGTATCTTACCTCACATAGTTCAGTGGTTCTGAAATTTTTTGGCCCACTTGGTTCAATGCAAACCTTTCCATGGGCCACCAGCTGCTAATGGAAACTCGCCGTTAATGACAATTACCCCTGAGCCATTATGCTAGTGCTGCATCTAGGGAGAATGGTTTAATTTAACCAGTAAGAAAGAAATATTGATTTAAATCATTTAACAGATTAAGCACTAACTTTCTCATGTCAGTTTATCAAACTTAATTTTAAATAAAGGAGATATTTTTGTAGCATTTTCAAGCATGTCAGCACAGAATTTGCCCATGTGCCAGCAGGTAGCAGGAATTTGAGTGCCCACATCTGGTTAGGAGTTTTGAGGAGAAAAACTTGAAGACAACGAAGAAACAAAGTTAATTTTTTACAAATCTTCTAAAGGCTCTCCTACAAAGGGAGACTTATCTGTCACCTGTGCCATTTCAATGCAAAGAATTCAGAAGCATTCTTCCTGAGGAACAGTCTATGCTCAGAGCACAGCTTTAGTCTGCCTCCCTATGGAAATGGGGAATGCCCACTGTGAAAACTGACATGGAGGATACTGAGAATGAGTCAGTTCTAAACACCTATAAACTTTGAAATACACGACAGTGGTAAGTAATGCTTGCTCAAATTTACAATATGAAAGAAATACTGTACAAACCCCTAGGAGGCAGAAGAGTTGCATTTATGAACTGCATTCTATATTTGCCTTAAATTCGGAAACGAAATATACAAGAAAACTGTGGCAAAACTAAATTCGGTATACTATTTAAAAGAAGAATGCTCTCTATATTAAAGATGTTACATATCAGGTAATAAAATAGTTGAGTAACCACATGAATTCTTATCAGTTACTCAACTATTCTACAAAAGCAGCAAGGAGTCCTGTGGCACCTTATAGACTAACCAAAGTGTTGGAGCATAAGCTTTCGTGGGCAAAGACCCACTTCGTCAGATGCACGAAAGACCCACGAAAGCTTATGCTCCAACACTTTGGTTAGTCTATAAGGTGCCACAGGACTCCTCGCCGCTTTTGCAGATTCAGACTAACACGGCTACCCCTCTGATACTCAACTATTTTATAGTCCCTGGGGGCAAGGTCGGCAGCCAGTGCACTCTGGCCCCAGGGAGTCCCCTGCCACCCCACACTGCTGCCTCTGTATCAGAGGCAACAGCAGCAGGGGGTGGCATATAAGAGCTGGTCCGTGAGGGGAGCCAGATTAAAAGAGCTTCCCACAGACAGAGGCTGCTGGGAGGTAAGGGGGAAGCTGCCGTGGAGCAGCTTGTGTCTGCGGGGAGCTCAGACCTGTCCCGGACAGGGGCTACTTTGCAGCAGGCTACCCTGCCCCCCTTCCCCGCTGTACCTCTGATAAGAGGCAGCAACACAGGGGGGCAGGCAGCACTGTGGAGTTGGTGTCAGGGAGGGAACAGGCTTCTGATAGAGGCAAGGGAGAAATGCAAATAGTCTACAAGATTTATCGATAAGCCAAGGCTTATTGGTTAATTGTCTAGTCAACTACTCATTGACATTCCTACTCTATATTGTATTGTTTATTTCCTAAGACTCTTCTAAGTCTCCCTGTACTGCAAGCAGTTTATCAGATGTCCTTTACAAGGCATTATTTAGAAAGCTGAAGCACAAACAAGTTTTTCAAAAATATCAGTCTTCAATGTTGATTTTTCTTTTCTAAAACACCAAAGATCATAACTCTCTGAGAAACAAATACAGACCACATATATTCCAGTACAGGGCTACTCAACACGTAGGCCATGGCCTGTTTGTTTGCAGCCCGTGGCACAGTTTGGGTTGATATGTGTTTTAGTAGTTAAATTCCTCGACTGTCATTGCTCATTAAAAGTGCTGTCACATGGGTAGAAATTGGGTAAATATTGCATTTTATTCATATAAACAGAAGTGACTTAAATGGGCCCTGTGTGTTGTGTAGTCTTGTCTTAATTTTTGTATTCATGCCTGTAGGTGTGAAAGAGCCATTTGTATATATATCTGCATGTATATGCCACCACACTTAAATTGCGGCCCTCAGCATGTACTGTGAGTATCATTGTAGCCTGCAAAGCTTCCAAAGTTGAGAAGCCCTGTTTTAGTACATAGTTATTTTCTGAATTAGTGAGAGTACACTCTAGTGGGCACAGAATTCTGCCCATTTCACACTGCCCAGTCTTCCTGTGTCCTCCACAACCCATCCCTGTCTTGCTCCTGTCTATTCCTGATCCTGGGATTCTCATCCCAATCTCAGTCTCCATTCCCCAGTTTCTGTCCAGAAATCCTAATTTTACTCACCCGGTTGTTCCAATTCCCCCTCCAAATCCCATTGTTCAAACCTCAGTTCTCCATCCCCATCTCTTTATCCAATCTGTGACTCCACCACCATTATGATATGTTTCCCATACCTCTGACTCCCAGTCCTAATCTCCCACCTCAAATTCCCTTGTATCTCAGTTCCAGCATCCACAGTCCCAGTGTATCCCCTAGCTACGTGTCCCAGTCTCTTTGCCCAGCCAGTCTCATTTGTTCACCCCACCCCAGAACTTGTTGTCAGATGCATTTCTCTGCTCACCCACTGGTCCTCAGTAGCGATGTGAAGGACTAGTCAACTATCCAATAAGTAAATGCTTATCGGCTAGTCGACAGGATAGTTAACTAGTTGCTTCCCCCTCCTTGCTGCCTCTATCAAATAGAGGTAGCAAGGAGGGTACTTCAAAGCAGCAACTCTGCACAAAGCCCAGCATCAGCTGCTCTGTGAGGTGCTGCCGCTTTGAATGCTGTGGGAAGCCTGGTGTCAGGCTCCTCATGGCATTTCGAAGAGGCAGCGCCGCATAGAGCCCGTGATCAGGTGGGGACTCTCCAACTGATTACGGGCTCCACTTGGTGCTGCTGCTTTGAAATACTGCAGGGAACCCAGCTTCGGGCTCCTCACGGCATTTCAAAGCGGCAGCGATGCAGAGAGCCTGAGAGATCCCAGGCTCCGTGTGGCACTGCCACTTTGAAACGCCGCCACCCTAGGGTTGTTGTTACACTTCAAAGATGGAGGCGCCCCATCAACTAATCGAATAGTCGATGCAGAAATGCATTGACTATTTGATTAGTCAATTACCCAATACTTAACATCCTTAGTCCTCAGTACCACTCTCTCTCCACACCCTCATCTCATCTCTCAGTCTCCATCCCTCTAATACACACCTATTTGGTCCTATCCCACCCTCACACCATTTCTTTCTCTGGCTCCCAATCCTTGCCCAGCCACCACCACCACCCCACCAAGTGCACAAAGTCATTCGCTGTTCAAAGCACCTGGACGCTCCATCCTCCCACCGGGGTACAAGATGCCTAAAGGGAACCACCAGCCATTCTGAACAGTCAATGATTTCATGCACTTCCCTGCCCCAACATCCCAATTGGGCTGGGGGCGGGAGAGCACATGAAATCTCCTCCCACATGAGGGGCACGCAGCACCTAGAAGGAACTGCCAGCTGTTCAAAATGGCTGGCGGTTCCCTCTCAGCGCTGCATGCCCCTGGCAGGGCGCGGGTGAGTGGGGCAAGAGACTTCACATGCTCCCCCATGTCCCAGTTGCCCAGGGGCGGGGGAGTGCACAAAGTCTCCTCCCCTTCCAGGGGCTCACACCAAAGGGAACCGTCCCTTCTGGGGACCAGAACCGACACACAACCCATGCACCAAAGTTTGTGAAGTGCCCCCCCCCAACAGATTGTGCGCCCCTGCAAAACTATTGCCTCTTCTGCATTTGAACCAGGCAGTTTCCTCCTCCACATCGCCTACTTACCAACAGGAATGTCACTGACATGACAGAAAAAGAGTTTTCCTGCTCTCACTTGTGTTGCCCAGACAAACTTGGGCCACAGAAGCCCCAAGCTGCAATTGCTGAAAGTCCTGCTTTGTTTTAGGCTGCAGCATGCCCAGTACAAACAGAATCTTTTGGGGAATTTAGTTGATAAAACGTATTAAGTCTCTATTGAGCATGTACAAACTGTACTTTTTCTAAATGCTTATAAACTTGACAACTTCAGCAGATTTTAAGGAGGACAACGTAAAGGCACATCACTGAATCAAAAGCTACTCTCCTCCTAAATTTCAATGCCCTGGGAACACAAGAGTTTTTTTAAAGAAAAAATTACCAGACTTTTTTAACTTGATCAAAATTTATTTTTCCCTAGTTATATGCCTGGAAACGGGTGAACGACTTTGTCTGCCACATGCTGAATATCTTGAAAAAAAATGAGCTAGTCACAGAAAACTTCTATGCAAAAGGTTACTGTTTTGAAAAGTTGTAAGAAGCTGAAAAACAGATAAAAGGGCATTGTTGGACAACCTTAATGATAGGCAGGGCTGGAAACACGGCTTATGATAAAACCAACACCTTTCAAGAAAGCCATCCCTACACTCCCTAAGTGTCTTAGCTACTGAAACTAAACCCACAAATTTTGTAGCTATAGCAACCAACAACAACGTACAATTAAAAATACTCCTGCTTTTATTTTAGCTATCAACTGAAGTGTTCCAAATTAGGGAAGTCTTTCAGAAATGCAATTTACAGATAACACAAATTCTCTAAGAGTATACAGATTCAGTATTCAAATATACTCAAATTATATATGGTTAGTTAGTTAGTTTTCAGGCAACCGTTACAAATGTGTAAGGATTTAAGCAATAGAGACCGTCAATAAAACAGTGAAATCATTTTAGTAGAGAGTAAAAATAGCTTTATAATTACAATTCTCAGAACAGCTGAACTCTAAAAAAATTAGTCAGTAACAAAACACTGTTTTTTACTCCTGTTAAAAAGAAATATCACACACAGCTTACCTATATTTGCTGTCATGGACTCCAGATCTGCCAAAAACCCTGGAACTTGCTGGAGCTGTTCCTGCAGCTCTATTAGACTATTCCTCTTCTTCTCCCAGTGTGCAGAAAGCATCACAACTTCACTATCCACTAGCTGTAATATTTACAATGAAGGACAAAACATACTTTATGTTTACTTGCAAAAGTGATTATTAACTTATGAACTTCAGCCTTATGCATCCACAAAGTCTATGACTAGACCAATGAAGTTTCAGTGTTGAGAGAGAAGATGTTCAAAGTATGCTTTAGTAAAGGTTATGGGTTTTTTTAATGTTTAAGTTCAATATGCACTAACAAGAAGTTGCCATAAAATGTATCTTTTGCCATTTAAAATCAAATATTTATTTCTACTTATTTCAGGAATAAAAATTTACAAAACATCTTCTCTGTGACAATTCTGGCCCTCTTCTCCTCCAGTTTACAATCTTTTAAGATTCTTAATACCCTGTCCTTAAGGGCAGAATGATTTAAATAGAAGATTTAAGGGCAGAATGATTTAAATAGAAGATTTTAAACCAGTATTTAAACCGGCATTTTATATTAGGGATGTAAGAGTGTAGCCATTTAAACAGGTTACCCAAAAGGCTACATGATGCCAACTTCCTGGTCCAACTTCCAACTTCTTGGAAGCCACCTGCGCCACATGCTGCTGCCTCGCGCCAAATCTGCATATCTTCTTTTGGAAGTCGAGGGTAGTCTAGATGTGCCCTGATACAGAGATAGCAGCGCGGGGCAGCAGGCAGGAGCCAGTAGACATGGGGAACTGGCTCAAAAGCCAGCTCTCCACATGTACTAGCTCATAGGGAGTCACCTTCCAGGGAACTGGCTGCCACCCCGCATGTAACTGCTGGAATTTTCAGTGGTTACACGGTTAATCAATTACACGCATTTTAACATCCCTATTTTATATATGTACTTTATTTTTCTCTCACTGATTGGTAACCATTAAAATAAGTTGATTTGCAACTAAATATAGCCTTTACACTAAATTGTGTTTCATTTTTCTTAACCAAGAGAATATGCTTTATCTATACAGATTGATTTAAGCAATTATATAGCTCAACATACATTTATTCAGATTCATACTTTTCCTGATAGAAAAAGGTGAATGATGCATTTTTTATTTGAGTATGTCAAGGGCTACTTCAATGAAATTTCAAGTTCAATTAAAATGGACAAAAACAGCATTTAAAAACTTGTATTATTTTACTCAGAAAAATTCTGCACCATTGAGCACACACAAAAACATGCCCCACCCCCACACAGATTCTCTTTGCCTTCTGTACAGAAAAAAGATTTATGTGGGGGAAGCAAAGAAATGCTATACCAATGCTCATTCACCCCTCCTCAGTAGAGATGGCACATCTCTTTGGATACCCGGAGCAGCCAGGGGAAAGGTAAGTCACCATAGAGGTAAGTCTGGGCATGTCCCTGCCACTTAGAAGCATTAGTCCAGCTGGAGGAGAAATACAAAAATAACTGAAAATGGTTGTAATTATTTCAAAATACTTGTCAGGAAATAATTGAAATGATTTAATTATATTGTTTTATTTTGCCAAAAATATTCAGAATTTTTATTTCTTGATGCAGAATTCTCTCAGGAGTATTAAATTAAATAAAGCTACCCTAAATGGCCTTAACAAATAAGAAAAGGTTTATCAAAACAAGTTCTTCTTTTTAAACGAGCTGATTTATTAATCAAAAGGGAGAAATATCCATAGTAAATGAACTGAACAAAATGTTTCCAGACACTACATCCTTCAAAATTTTATAACCAGCTGATCTCATTCTCCTACACTCTATACATAGATTGGAAGCAGAAAAGGATTCCCTGCTTTTTCAACTGCAACCGGTTACTTAACTCTGAATGAACTAGCTGAGTAAACCAAAATAAGAAAAATTTTCTTCTGTGGGTCTTCAAAAGCTAGCACTTAAATTTTGATTTCAGATACTTAGCCAGTGATTTCCCTGAGTGCAATGATAGACTCTTTAAAACCTGGCAACAAACATTTGCTACTTAGTATTTTTATTTAGTTTACATTATAATGTATGGCTTTAATTTAACTGTAATAATTTCACTTTTTAAAATCTGGATTTAATTTAAATTTTAAAAAACTGGATAATTTTTATTTATTTTTTTAAAACAGTAATTTTTATTTGCCCTGCTGCCCTTGCAATAAAGAGCTAAAAGCTCCCAATTCACATCTCTGGATCCTCCAAAGAAGTTCTTAAGGAAAGATAAACTTGAGATTCCAGACATTTATAAAGTTAAAAATTATGCTGCTCTAAGGGGGGGAAAATTTTTAAGTCTTTCAGAACTCTGTAAATATTGTAAAGGAAAAGAGGGCACAAAATTATCACCAACTGACCCATATCATCTTTAAAATATAAAGAATAAAATGTTGCATGAACACAAATATTGGAATTAATATTTGAAATTAATACTAATATGGGAAACTACTGAACATTAAATTATTCACAGATTACTTTATTAACATTCAAAGGCCAAATGGTTCTTATATAGGAGTCAGGGATGTAAAAAAATCACCCAGAATGTTTAAATGATTTGCTTAACTGGTTAACCACTGACTGCAGGCAACAAGGGTTGCCCCAATTCAATTGTGACTGCACCATGGGCAGCAAGGACTACTCCTTCCCAGCACACTGCCACCAGCAGTGGGAGCTGCTCCTTCCGCACCGCCGGGCCCACTGCGGCCCTGTTGGTTGATCCACCAGAGAAGGGAAAGGCTCTGGTTAAATGTAGCAGAACCTCATAGTTATGAACACCATAGTTATGAACTGACCAGTCAACCACACGCCTCATTTGGAACTGGAAGTGCACAAACAGGCAGCAGAGACACAGAAATAGCAGACACAGTATTGTTTTAAACTACTAAAAACAATAAAGGGAAAACAGCATTTTTCTTCTGAATAGTAAAATTTCAAAGCTGTATGAAGTCAATACTCAGTTATAAACTTTCAAAAGAACAACCCTAATATTTTGTGCAGAGTTACAAACAGCCTCCATTCCAGAAGTATTCTTAATCTCTGAGATGTCACTGTATCGGATTAAACCAAGTAAAAATAGTCGAGTCCAATTTAACAATTACCCAACTGTAATGTAATTTGAGTATTTTTTCAAAATACTTATATATATATTAAAATTTTTGCAAGTTTTGCACAGTTCTTCAGTTATTTTAACTGATGTAATTTTTTCTTACCTCTCCAGCTTTTGCACATTCCTTAGCTCCTCTGTGAAGGGCTGCCCAAGAGTCTTCATACCTCAAAAGAATAAAAAAAAAAAATTTGTGGTTATGCTTACCATAAATTCAGCTCCCAATTCAAAACAAAGATTATGAATGCTGGTGTTTCATCTTATCTGTATATATCTAAATGTAAGTTCCACATTAGTAGAATATTGTCCCAGATGAAAACTATGCATTTGCCGTTTAGTGCTTCATGGCTTTCCTAAATTGCTAATTAACGTGGCTAGAAAACACAGCCAAGTAAAACTGTACAAAGAGACAACTAAAACATACTATTGGAAATAATAATCCCAGGAAGAAAGCAATAAAACACTAACATTACAGCTCTTAGAATTGTATATAACACAAATAGCATTCAGAATAGAATTTTTAAACAAAGTATTTGGGCATATGGCATCTTGCCCTTAAAATACACATATCCACATAAACTCTTACTGGAATATTCAGTAAGACCACTGACCCCAGAATTTTCTAAGTTCTTCATATCCATACAGTGAGTGTTAATTAAAATGCCAGGTGCACTTCCAGATGCTGCAAGCTATTATTTTTTATTAATTTATTTAGAATAGCATCTAAAGACCCTTAGAGGACTGAGGCCCTACTATAGTAAATTCTTTTGGATCGAGATACCTAAGATATACAAGTAGGTGTAAAAGAAATCAGAAGACATTATGGAGGTACAATATACCTTTGCATAGTGCAGGGTGGACTGATTTATATCCAAGTGATTTAAAGCACCAATTTTAATCATGATTTAAATCACAGAAAATCTTGATTTATATCAATTTGTATTTTAGTTATTTACTTACGAGATCAATTCTCATTGGTTGGTAGCCATTAAGCCATGTTGACTTACAGCTAAATACAGTATTGCCTTTACCTAAATTTGGTTCTTTGCTAACCTGGAGGATACATTATATCTATACACATTTATTTAAGCAGCTATATAGCTCGTGTTAGAAATGGTGAATTATGCATATTTCTTATGAATTCTTTGGAATTCATACACACACACTTGTCAGTTCTGTGAAGCTGCAACTGGATGAGATTTAGATTAAAATGCATAAACACAGCATTTTCTAATAATTAAATTTAACCAAACTAAGTTAGATATGCTAGACACATATGAAAAAAGAAGTTGATCAAAATATGTTCTGCATTTAAAACTAATCAATTTATTAAACAAAGGGAGTATCTGTAGTAATGAACTGAACTGATTTTTTCTAGTCTCTGCCCAAACGCAGAGAGAGACTTAAAGTACCTCAGTGTGGGTTTAGTGCACCTCTGTGACTCTCAGAACTCTTGCCTAACCTCTATTGGTGACTAAACTCACAAACACAGATGTTAAATATCAGTTAATTGAATAGTCGATTAACCTCATGAATTTTTATCTATTACTCAACTATTCTATAGTCCCCGGGGTGTGGCCAGCAGCCAGTGTGCGCCAGTCCCACTCCTGAAGAGTCCCCTGTCACTCTGCACTGTTGCCTCTGTATCAGAGGCAGTAGTGCAGAGTGGCAGCAGCCCCTATACCGGGAGGTGGGAGTGGGGAGACGCGGAGCAAGCTGAGCTCCCAGACCTGGCATGAGCCAGAACTGAGCCAGGCTGCCTGCCAATACACTTTAAATGCAGAGCTGCAGTGGTAGGTCCCAGACCTCGTGAAAGCCAGAACTGAGTCAGGCTGCTGGTCAGCCTGCTAAAAAATTTACTGGTGGGGGAGGGAGGTGGGGAATGCATGTAGTCTATAGCCGTGGTCACCAACAAGTCGATTGCGATTGATCTGTCGATTGTGAGGCCTCGAACCGTGGCGCGGCGAGACCTACCCGGCAGCACCCCAGCTGCTCTTGGGGACGCCTGGGGCAGAGCAGCTGGGGTGCTGCTGGGTTGGTCCCACAACGCCGCTCCTCGGTGCTACTGGACCAACCCAACAGCACCCCAGCTGCTCTGCCCCAGGTGTCCCCAAGTCAGACACTGCTGATACTGATCAGCGGCTGACTCCAGGAAGCTCGAGGCAGAGCTGCTCTGCCCCAGGTTTCCTGGAGTCAGCCGCTGGTCAGTTTCAGCAGTGGCTGAATCGGGGACACCTGGGGTGCTGTCCAGTTAGTCCCACAGCCCGAAGGGGCAGTGCTAGGGGACCTATCCAGCAGCTCCCCAGCTGCTCTGCCCCCGGCTTCCCCGATTCAGCTGCTGGTCAGTTTTAGCAGCAGCTGAATCGGGGAAGCTGGAGGCAGAGCAGCTCCAATGGTCTGGCTGCCCGGAGCACTTCCGGGTTCCTGATGGTGCCGGACCATCAGGAGTGCCGGACCGTCAGATGCCGGACCATTGGAGTTTTACTATAGCAATGCTTTTGAAAGAAGCCTGTTTCAGATATATACATTCAGAAACAAAGGTGTACAAACATAAAACTTTTCATACACTAACAACTACTTCTATTTTAAGAGATAAAACATTGTCACATTTGGACTACTTAAACATAGACCAGATGAATGCAGTGTCCTTTTCATCCCAATTTCAAAAACTATGCAGACCAATGTTGACGTACAGTTTATGTTTGGCATTTACTAGACACAATCTCAAAGTATATCAAACAAAACTCTGGGGAAATAAACAGCTGAACAAAGAACACTAGGCAATTTATGATTTTGGCAACAGCTTCCAAAAATACAACATGAGCAAGAACAACAACAATCATTTTCAGCAGTTACACATTTACTTAATAAAATTAATGTTAACATCCCTAGTTTATACCAGGCCAAAGAGTAAGACTCCCAGGAAGGTATGCAGTGTACCTGCACAACTGCCATGCCAAAATGAGGCTCAGTCAGACCTGGATTCCAAACTGATATTAGTACTGAATAAAATACATGCACAGAACTCCAGCTAGTATAAATCTCCAAAAGTACAAATCTCCAAATTAGAGATGTAATAGAAACACACCAATGAAACTGCCTTACTTAGCAGAATGACCTTCAAAACCCTTAATTACTGTCATCCTACCCAAAAAAAATCTCAATCAACATCTGAATAGTTGTATAACAAATAGTAGTCCCTCTATTTTCATAGAGCGGAAAGTTACAAAAACAGTTGATGAACTTTATAAAAATCATAGCCTAGTTTTTAAAAAAAGGAAACGGTAGGGGTTTGGTATCCCCCGCTGCCTCCAAACACACACACACCCAGGACGTATGGAACATCTCTTCTTC